CTTCACCGCACTTGCTCACTGAAATATCCAGTTTGGCATGGGAACCTTGGCTCCAGGTCCTTTGGCTAAGATTTAGTCTGGTTCTTTCAGTCCGCAGTCAACCGGATCTCCAGTTGGACTGAGTCCAAGTCAAATGCAGCCTATTCAGGATTACTCAGGAGGACGTGTGGGTTAGTAGGGGTAACCGTCCGGGATGAATGGACCCAGGAGAGAAAAGGGAAAAGGAAGGGAGGGAAAGGGCGTGGACCTCAGGATATTAGTTGCAGAGGTTTGCATTCATAGTACTATACTGTTCAAACAAGGTAGTGGTCCAGTTGCTTCAAAGGCGGTTAACATGGCCAAAAATAGAATACGTGAAATGTGTAGTTTCCCACTAGAGAACTGAACAGACTCGCACTTCATTGCACTTCTCGCATAATTCTCTGAAATCTCTGTATATTATTTTATGCTAGTTTGGTGGAAAATAATAGGTGGAACATACAGTAATATCTACTCCCAAAAAACTCCCAGAGCCCACTGTACAATGTACAAAGCCCTTTTGCACCAGTTTCAGGCACAAACTGAACGCATTCTGCTCACCTGTTACATACAAGACTGCTTCCTAAACAAGTTTATAGCATGCATAAGTTCACGGTAAGGTCTCAAAAGATGTGTGCAGTTAGATGGAGGTACAAGCCTCGAATATGTGCTTCAACTAGGGATGTGCACATAGGGATGTGCACATTCCAGGTGCCAGTGTCTGAACACTGAAATCACTATTTACGTATATGTTGCGTTTCATTACAGGAAGACTGTAAAAATATACAGACCAAAACTACGGTGAATTACACTGATTTTATGTTTTAAGATAAAATATGAGATAAAATGTGCTTAAAATGTGGACGTTTTGCTCGTGTTTGTGAGTATATATACTTTGCCAGTGTTGTAATTTGCTACTCTGAAACATTGCCAAAGACAGGTTGTTAAGGATGCTGAATAGCCTAGGCGAAAGTTAGGTCCATAAAAAGTTACAATGTGAACTCTTACAGATACTCGAATAACAAAATTATTCAGAATCAGAGTCCAGTTTTAACGCTCGGGACCAAATATACATGTCTGAGAAGACGTGGCTCAAAACATCCTGTGATGTGACTGCAATATGTGCAATATGTTCCATATCATCATTTCACAAGCTCTTTTTTTCTCAGCTCTAGGGACCAGAATAACACCCCTGTAGGATTTTTGGTGTGAAATAACTAGTCGCCATCACTGATCTTTCATTTTCTCTTTTATCTGGATCATGTTGACGGACCATTACTTCACTGCTCCTTTTAAACGCTGTGCTTTTTGATCTCGCAGTGGGTAAGGCTACATGCAGTTGCATGATAAGCCGCTACCTTAGTAAATCATATGTTAAATTCTGATGCATTGCGAGTGCATTTTGCGGTTGCATCAAGGCACAATTTGTGCTGTGCCTGTGTTTGTAACTATCTGGCTCTCAATGCTCTTAAAGGATCAATAAAGTTATTTTTACTTTGTTTTGAGTCAGAAATTATTTAAGTAGTTCCAATGCTGCAATAGTTCTACAATCAGTTCAAAATAAAACTAAATAACTAAATAATATTGCACCTTGAAACACCTGAATTGTGCCAATCATTTCCAGTCTTGTGTATAAACTGCAAACACTTACTTGGATGTTTACTGTAGCTAACATCAGTTCTGGAAGACTTCAGTGAAAACATAAGTGAGATTCTTAATCCTGGTGTTGGTTTGAAGTGCGTGGCACAGTAACCCTGCGGCTGCTGCAGGACTCATTAGATGCTATTATGAAACTGAGGAAGAGGGGGACTTTCCATCCTTTCCCCTTTAACGACACAGAGGAGCGCCAGAAACGCCTAGCCTTCGCCAACCACTTCCTACAATAGCAAAATAGCAATTTCAGATGCCTGATAGTAGCAGGCTTGTGAATTAAGGTTTGTAATAGCAAATATACCTACCTATGGATGCAGAAAAAAACACCACTCGCTAATAATTTACAAAGATGGAGCAGCATCTGTCATGAATTTAAGACAATATGGTCCAGGGTTTGAAGAGTTTGCACCGTTGGATGTTGCAGAGGCTAGATTTTCCTTTCGAGGAAAAGCTAAAGATGCTTTGAGGAATTCAGAAAGTCACAGGAGGACGGGACCTGAGCGCTCCTGCCTGGCACTTAAAATCTCTGGCTTGCGGATTTCTCTCTCAATAAAGCCTGCTTTGGTTTTTTACTAGATAATGTTGTAGCTTATAACTCCAGATGGACATGCATAAGCTTTGCCAGGCTCGTTCGTCCTCCAACAAGTCAACAGCTTGCCGAGGCCCAGTTCTGTTAGCTTGAGCTTTCCATTAAAACAGCTGGAGTCTAACTGGAGCAGATGAGGCCAAGGGGCAACAACTGAGGGACAAGAACATCCTGAGAACCAGAGAAAAAAGCCAGGACACTAGGAATGAGAAGTTCCTAAAGATTTATCTTCATAATATCCTGTGATGACCCCATTTTCAGTTTACATGTCGGTGTAAATCTAAAAAAACCTGTCCAGCATCTTCTCCTTGTTGCGGAACAAACTCTATCGAAACTGTGGCTATGCTAACTGCAAAAACATACACTTGGCTTAGAGTATAGATCATTTACAGTACGTAAATTAGCTATTGAAAGGTTCAATTACAACACCACATTTCGGAGATCAATGTGTCAGAGGGAATCGGCAGAGTGAAAGCCGAGAGGCGGCAATAAATGCATAAAGAAGGACGGGGGTCTGGGATTTTAAACAAGCACACATAATTGTTTGGCTTGGCACTGCTGGCTAATGATGTCATCACTGTTCCAGTTTTGACTACAGTTCACATCCAGTAGAAAGGATACTATGGTTCCCCTGAACATAATAAAGTCAATAGATGGCCCTAAAGTACAGTGATATATGTCTTTTTTCATTCATGTATTTTCTTTGTGTGTTTGCTGTCTAAATCTTGGTGGACGTTAGCTTCAAAACCAAGCCACGTCAGAAACTACCCAATAACAGATTTCTTTTAAATGCTTATTTGGAATGGGCACATGCACATTATTACAACCAAATGCTGTTCTGTTTTTCTCCTCTTTTCTCCTTTTTGGCATATATAGTGTGCACAAATGAAATTCGTGTTTGAATATTCTTTAGATCAAACGCTTAATGGTGTTTGTGGGCCATTTGCTGAAAAGTCCCTGGCAACTGGTGCAGCTGCAAAATGAGCCTAAATCTGTTCAACACAGATCACTAAAGCTAAAAGCTAGAAAGCGCTTTAGCAGAACTCCAACTTGAAAAGCATCTAACAAACAAGAGCTTTGTGAAACTTGAGCTTCAGAATTCAGTCTTGTAAATAAAGCTCTTGAAGATGACATTTATAAATTCCCAGATTAAATCAGACCTATAACATGGACCACAGCTGGATAAAATGTGGTTGAAAAAGATAGTTTTCTTCCCATTCCTTGGTTCCCCCACATAAAACAATATGCTTTCTGTACTCGATGTGAATGAGAATCACAGAAAAATGCGTTCAAATGGGTCTGATGGCAAAAACACACCCTACAGTAAGAGACTAGCTCTTGGAAAATGCTAGCGTAGCTAACTAAGATTGTCCAAAGGACTGATAAAATATCAGTGCTGAGTGTTTGGCTAAAGGCTAAAGTGTTTGGCAAGCTTGACAATGGGGGCAAGGTTCAGAGCTTTGGATGAAAATGAACACTGATGCCAAGCACACATCCTGTAAACTTGGACATATTGTGAGTAGTTAGCTAAATTGGCTAAACAAAAATCCATCTCAAGTACTGGTTTGAAAAAATAAACAACAACATGACAGTCACATGAAAAAGGGGGGAAAAATGGCTGCTTCAGTTTCTTTGGCTTTCTCTGCGGCATATCTGAAGAAAGCTGATTAGGCAGAATGAATCTTTCTCGCTCTGTTGTCAGTCTCAAAGTTTTGCCTTGCTGGAGAAGTGCAACCTTCCTTCCAGCCCATCTCTGGAGTCCAGAGAGAGAGGGAGGGCTGGTAGTTATCGTGCCTGTCTAGGATACATTCCTAATGGGAAAGACAACAGTCTGGCCTTCTGCCCGGAGCTCTGGGGGGGAGGACATGGAGGCAGGCCAACTGACCAACCGACCGACCAACCAAGCGGCCAAAACAACACCTCCAGGTGGAGCCAAGAGCGAGACTGCAGATTCAGATTGAGGGGGAAGAGGGGGATCCATAGCAGGGGAGGAGGGGGAGAGGGAGCGAGGGATTCTTGAGGACAAAGAGTCATAGAAGAAAAGAAATGAAAGACAATATTGTGATAGTATCAGTTTGAGGTATGGATTCTGCAACAAGAATCAGGTATAGTGAGTTCAATTGTACATAACTCTTAAAATAAAGGTGCCAAAAAGAGGCCACTGGAGGGATGCCAGGAGATGTGCAAGATGTAAAGTTGAAAGAACCTCCACATTAAAGGTTTTTTCCTAGAACTGTACATCCAAGCCAAGAAACAGTTAGGAACATTTAATGCATGAACTTTAAGCATGGTCACATAAGTGTGCCCTAATCTTAGTCTGCAAACAACCAGCCTGACTACCAGTGTTCTGTATGTATACATATTGGTTAACCCTTTAAACTGCAGGGCTATTATTCAGTTGTAAGCCCTAAAGCTTATCCAGTAACTGCCATGAAATTAATAAATAGTTATGAGAGTGAGGAATTGGAGGGTGGTCCTACACAAGGGTCCCCTGCAGGTTATGGGGGTTAACACATATAGCATAAACAAATTATACCAATAAAAGGTTTTATTTACTTGATTTGAATGTGTCCATCATGAACAAAACATCTGACATCAGCATAAGTCTTTCACTTATTTTCAGCATTCAAAGTGTTGTTACACTTATGCAGCTGAATCCATTAAGTCTGCTTTACAGTGCATTTTCAGAGCATCTGACCTGTATGTTTACAAGTGTATGTGTTAGCATGTCCGGCCAACTCACCGCTCTCGCTCTTCTCGATCACGTCCACCGTCTCGCCGGCTCTCAGGCTGATCTCGGAGTTCTCCTGCCGCTCGTAGCTGGCCACGGCCACGTACTGCTCCAGCACCATGGGCTCCCCGCTGTCCAGGCCTGCAGGCGAGGGGAAGAAACATGCGGTCAGCCAGCGGCCCGCCGTCCCGCCGCCCCTACCGCCGCTGCCCCTGCCCCTCCAGCCCCTGTACGCTGCCATCCACACCTAACACAACTGAAGCCCCTGCATGCTCCACAGCTTCTGGCCATATAGATCCAACAGCTTTCCCCCGAGCCTAGGCTGGAGGCTCAACGAACTTTGAAGATTAAAAAACGGGATGGAGCTCCTTCAAGGAGGAGACTGCTGAGGAGGCTTGCTTTGGTTTTGAAGCTCCATAGTATGGTGAGTTTGAGCGAGGGAGGAATGAAACGGGGGGAGAAAAAGAGAGACGGGGGAGAGAGAAAGAGAGAGAGAGTTGCTAACAGTTGGGGATGTAACTCCGGAGTGGTGGGCTGGAGGAGTTTCTCTGCTGGAAAATAAACAGACCAGAGAGAGAGAGAGAGCAAGAGAGAGAGAGAGAGAGAGGCTGGCCTCTCTCTCACCCTCTCTTGCTCTCTCTCCTCCCATTCAAAGGGTTAGGCAGCCGTTAGGGGGGGTTGCATGAAAAACGCCAATCAGAGCAGTCTACTCTCCAGGCCTTAAATAGAAACATATGAGCAGACTCAGGGAGAGCGAGAGAGCAAGAGAGTAAGAGAAAGAGAGAGAGACTGTTTATGTGAAACACGAGAAGAAAGCATTTCGACTGGGGCTAGGCTCTTTTCCTCTTCTCCCTCTATACTTTCTTTGTTTGTTTCTCTCCTTCCTATCTTTGCTCCTCTCTCGATTACCTGCTGCTACTAATGGTTGTATAAGTGCAAGAGACAATCTAAAGCATGGAGACAGATCTTTTGTACAAATACAGGACCGTTCACAAGTAAACAGAAAACTTTGGTAACTGTACTTGTAACTAAAATCCAAACTAGCTTAAAAATCAAAAAAGCCAATCTAAAATGCACGTCACTCATATCGCCTTATAGCATTTATAGTGTATGTGTGTTTCCAGATATATGGTGATGCATTGGGCAAAGTCCTCTCCCTTCCTCTCTCTCTCTTTCTGTTTGTCTAGGCGAGGGGTTAGCATGTGGAATGCTAACCTGGACATGCATTCTGCACGATCCGATGGAAACTGATCCCAGATCAGCCATAAATAAGTGGCTAAAGAGAAGGACAGGCTGGATGGAAAGCATGCAGGACATGTGCTAGACACCACACAGAGATTCCATGATGTGAAGACCATGTCTAGCAAGAAAATAGCTTGCTAAGTCTCAGCAAAACAAATGGCAGGAGCACGTTGCTAATAAGGACACACACTGCTAAAAACATTAGAAAAATCCAAAAAAGGAAAAAAACATTGCATCAGTAGACCTTAATTTAAGGATTGAGCCTTAGCATAATGTTTTGCTGATGCAGCTACTTACAGAAGGATTCATTTATAATTTACTGAGTATATAGTTAGCATTGGGTTTTAGCATTAGTGATTTAGAAACCTCTTCTATAAAGAGGTATTGTTGAGGCATTGCTTGAGCTGCTAGAAACCACATCAAGATTCCACACTGTGATGACCATGCTAATAGCCTAGCGTGCTTAGAGGTGGGTAATCCAGGTCCAAAAAGTAAAAAACCCTCCCCAGGATTTTGTTCCAGTTGCTTGACTTCTCTAATTTGCTCAAACCAGCAGCAAAGGTGTTCAGACAGTTGGAACAAAATCCTGGGGAAGGTTTTTACTATTTGGACCTGGATTACCCACCTCTAAGCTGCTAACTGTCGGCAATAAGAACACATTTCTAAAAATCAGAATTCAAAAAGAAAGAAACACGTTCTATTAGTAATCCTTAATTTAGGGACCCAGCATTATGTTTTGTTGATGCTGCTTGTTAAGAATTATCAGTAACTGAGTATATGGTTAGCAATGAGTTTTAGCATGAGTGATTTATAAAGCTCTTCCACAGCAAGTATGATGTTGAAGCTTTGCCTGAGCTGCTAGACATCACACCAATATTCTTCCCTGCTGTGAGGACCGTGCTAATGGCCTAGCAAAACTTGCTAACTCACAACAAAACAAATATTTTGAGGGTGCTAATGAGAGCGCATGCTAAAAATATTACAAAATGTAAGAAGCTAAAAGTATTCCATCTGTAAACCTTTGTTTTTTGATGCTGGTAGCTGTAAAGGACACTGTTGAGGATTAAGTTATGATTTACTGAGTATATGGTTAGCATTAGGTTTAGCATAAGCGATTTTTAAACCTCTTCTTCAGTAAGTACCATGTTGAGGCTTTGCTCGAGCTGCCAAAAGGACCCCTAATGCATTTTCATCAGAAGCTTGAAATAAGCCTGCTGGCACACTGTGGTCGTCCAGCTTTACAACCGCTTTAGTAGGGATTAATGGGGAATCCTTCCACACAAGATATTTATCACTGTAGGGGGGGCACAGAGAGGCGTGCTCAGTGTGTCTTGTCTTAATCAACTGTCAGGAATGGCATGACCTAATTAGAAAGGCTTCATGCTAAGCAATGTTGCATTTATTCAACCACAATGTTGCTCAACTTAACAAATGAGGCTCCACTAAAAGACTCAAACTTGTCTGAGTGGCTGAAGAAAAAAATAGGCGAACATTCAGTGCTGTTTGGACAGCGTGTTACGTTTCTGTGCCCTTGGTCCAAACATTTTGCTTCCTTTCTTGGAGATATAGGAGCCAAAGGAAGGCTGTGGCAAAGAACAAAGTATACACAGAATGAGTGTGTCCTGGCAAGAGCTTCTACCACTTCCACTGAAGACTCTCTGCTACTGTTCCTATGGACACACAAGCACTAATACATTACTTCCTTGCCATTCCATTTCTCTTAATGTCCGTTTATTGTCAGTTTATCCTCTCACGCACTACAACAATGCGAAGTAACATGGAGTGCTTTCTTCCTCAACTCTGTACCAATTATACTGGCTGTGTGTGAGGAAACAAGGGGAAAATGCTCCCCATATGGCGCCGGCCTTGGCCAATGTTTATCTCGGAAGGATGAGCGCATTATTCGTTGAAATGTTTATTTGCAGGCTGTCGTTCTTTAAACTTGATGAGGTTCAGGAAGGAGGTCAGAAATGAGGAGGCCATGTTTTACAACGTCACTTTATAAGCTGATCTCTGAACAGCTGTTTGATAACATCTTTAGACATGTTAATGCATTTTAGTGGGTTTATACAGTGTTTATTCTCTAACTGCCACTGTCTATTTTATACAGTCCTGTTGTAAGTGGCCAGTCCTGCTTTGTAGCAGAGAAAAGCCCATCAGTTTGAGCTTCATGTGTTTTAGGTTGAAAAAACACCTCTTTACTACTACGCAGCCACAAAAGACAGCTGACCAATTCATATCTAGATGCTTTCTCTCTAGTCAGTCATCCAACATGAAGGAAAAGCTCGCATTGGCTGTTTTTGACCCGGAACTATACAACACAAAGGTTACCACGATCTGACTGGCAAACAGAGTTTTGTATTTATTATTATATGGATCGTTTTACCAAATTGGCTGAAAGTCAAACTTTTAACTGACTTGGACTTTAGATTAAAATCCTTTTACTGTGAGTGACCCTATCCCTCAATTATATTTATTTTATTAAAACAAATGAATAAACATTTCATCGTCACAAGTAAAACCATCATAAACTACCAAAATTTTACCAAATGGTCAGGGTGACTGTTTCGGTAGTGACAATTTTAGCTAATTTTGAGCAGAACTCAAAAATGTTAGCCAGGGCATGTCTAGCAAGCAAACTTTGAAAAGTTCTACACATATAAATTCAGAATTTTTTTTATTAAAACACAAAAAAAAATTACTTAATTGTAGAAAATGTGTGTTTCTGTAGTGACAATTCTTAACGTTATACTGACTTTGGGGCATATTTACTTCAAAACAATGGGATCTAACTGCTTACCATGTGGTCAAGAGGGCACAGGGATGTAGGTCCACTACCTGATCTAAAATGAAACGGCTCCACCTATGGACTAAAACTCTGTATTTCGGTAGTGACTGAATGCTGAATAGCATTTTTGAGTGAAGTTTTTAATTTAAAAATTAAACTTATGATAAATCTAAATCTTTCAACTATAGTTCATAAGAGATTATTTAAAAAACAACAAAAAAATTGAGAAAAAAGACTAAAATTTAGAGTTAAGGTTTGGGACAGCAACCTCCCTATAGAAAGTATCCCATAAATGATGATAAAAGATAACCCATCTTCTACAGAGAACAAACTTAAATATGGCATTTTCTGCTAATTATAATGCACAATTTCTATATATGTGCTAGGTTCAACATATTGGAAAAAATAAAACATAAAATATAAAATGTGCCATAATTTTTGGCGCAGGCCACATTTTATGTTTCCCCTCCCCCACAATATGTTAAATTCAGGAAATAAACAGTAATTGTGCATTAAAATGTGCAGCGTGTGTGCTCACTTAGAAAATCAACTAAACAAATCATTTGGCCAGGGGCGCCCAAACTTTGCTAATGTACAGCTGTGCAACTAGCCTTCTCTTTCGCCGTGGATAAATTGTTTATGTGATTTTCTGCACTTTGCAGCACTTTAACTACTTAAAACATACTTCACGTGAATGCAGCCTTTCGGAGCTATTCTCTCAGCGATTCATATTATTTCCAGCTACCATGCTGATTCTCGGAAGGGCATATGGAATAAGAGTTCTCAACAGCAGCTGGGCAGAAATTGTAAAATAAACATGTTACTAATTCTCTACAGCACAGGTTCCCACCAGTGGTCCTGGAGTACCCCAGCCTGGCATATTTTAGTGTTTCCTGCTCTAACACACCCATTTCAGCTGAGAAAGGGCTTGTTAATTAGCTGGTAAGTTGGATCAGGTGTGCTTGGAGCACGGAAAACACTAAAATGTGTAGGATCAGCGTACTCAGAGACCAGGACTGGCAAACACTGGTCTACAGAATGGGGTACCACTTTAAGATCAACACTCAGATCTCTGTCAATAAGCAAGGAAAGGAAAATGAAAGATGAAGAATTAGAGGTAAAGTGTAAAGGCATGCTGTCAAAGCTGGCATTCAGTGCAGATACACAGCAGGCATAGCTACCTGAGGCCTCAGACTTGGTGGGACTGTCCTGTAGGCCATACATCCACACTTCAGGTGGTAGAGCAGAAAAGAAAGGAAAGACAGAGAAAGAGAGGAAAGATCACAGTCATTTAAAGCAGTGAAGAACAAAGCAACACATTGTCAGGCCATATTACGTCTTATAAGCATGCAATCAATATGAATATGTCTTTAAGGGGAACTGAACCCCTGAACATGTGTGCTAACAAAGCTCTCTCAATATTCTTATTGTAAATGCAGTTGTACAAAATGATGGATTAGTAGCTCGTTTAGGGAAAAAATGCTTTTTATGCCAGCTGTTGTAATAAAACCTTGTAGCTCTGTTGAAAGGGTGACTTTGTAGCAGTAGGAAGAAATGTTCTTCACTTTTAATGCAAATTAATAAAACAAGATTTTATTCCAAATAATTTGGTACCATTTCTATTATATCAGTCATCATGAAACTCGTCGTAAAAGCCAGCTGCCATTTTCAAATAAATAAAATTACATAAATAAATAAACAAAATGATATAAAATTTTAAAAAGGCGTCACAAGGTTTTGATATGACAGTGTTGATAGAAGATGTGATCACCACTCTTTTAAAAAATGAGGCATTCTCGATGTTAACTTCATTTTCAAAACTATAAAGGTTTCCCAATCATTTTAGAATCATCTACAGCTCTGGACTGGGTTTCCCAAACACAACTCATCTTAGCACAAAGATAATTCTTAAATGATAGCCACTCTCTCTACCAGTTAAAATGACTTTAACACTACAATGCTTCTGGGAAACTGGGCCCAGTTCATTTGAAATCCATGAAATTGCACTTGACTAGCATTCTGGTTTTATTTTACACATTCATCTAAAGCCAAATAGGTTTTATATTGTTTAAAACCTTTGAACAGCGAAACCAAACTTCAGAACAGTAACAAACTACTTCAGAAGGTTCTTGATGCACCTCAAATTTTTGTTCTGCTCCAGTTCCTGAGACATCCAAATCAGGTAATCATCATTTTCCAGCCTTTGACTACCTCATGACGCACAGCAGAAGGTGGGCTAGCTTGGGGGTCCACAGATTGGGAATGACTCAGAATATCTGTACTATCCTTTGAAGAGCTTCCCTTCGGGAAATGGTGCAACCTCTCAAGCAGGCCTGATGCTAAATAGCCTGGCCAATGCTCCTGTACAGCTGCTCTGTACAACATCATCTGGTAACAATAGCCAGCCGCGGTCCTGCTGATAAGATTTCATCTGGTCGGGCCGCAAAAATCAACATGACAGTGAAAAGGGCAGGGTGTGTATTGGGGAGGGGGAAAATCCAGTTTGACCCCTCCTCTTACACACACACACACACACACACACTCATACACCGCATCAAACTCAGTCAGGAAATTAAATGTCATGCAGAGAGAATACAAGGAGACACTGGGGGGCAACCAAAACGAGGACACAGGGAGGAGTGTGTCATTCCACTCTCTATTACTTCAGAAAGACCATCAAAACATGCGTATCCCTTTCGCCTGCATGACGACAACACCACCATGAATAACATAATAACGTTCACAGACACATAGAGGGAAGCTGCAAATCATTAGTAGAATCAGTCCATAGCATTCATATGTTTTTTACCTCCAAATTCCCTCAGAGGGACCCCTCCCTCTGTCCCCACCTCTCTACTTCATTTCTCCTCTCTTCCACCTAATCTCTCCATTCCTCACACTGCTACACCCAGCCTAGCCCACACGACTGCAACTGTGTTGAAGGGGAATCCCATCAATATCTCAAAATTATATAATTATATGGTTGAGATATAAACAAAAGTCATTCAGAGTGGTCTGACCTGAAATCTGTTCTTTGCAGAGAGACTTAGCGACTCTTTACAGTGGTGGGGATAGGAATCAGGAGTTGCAATGTCTACAATGCAAATATAGCTATTACACTAACCAAAACCACCAGTAAATTTACACATGGCTCCTGAGGTTTTACATGTTACAGTGATGATGGCAAAATAGTAGTGAAACAAAATTTATTAGTACTATGTTTGCTTACAGTGGCCTGCATAAACCTCTCAGACCTGAATATATTTAAAAAAAGTGTTAGGCCAAAACCTTTTAATCAGCTTGGCTCGCAATACAGGAATTTCCAATTTAGCCAGACAAAATTAGATCTTAGAAAATCAGTCATCTTGTCAGATGCTCAGAGTCTCTAGTACTTTGAGACCAACTGCAAGTGATTCAACTGCAGGTCTCAAGCCAACTTGCAGATAAATCAGACACAATTCTCAAACTTTTTGATTTTATCAGTTCAAGTTGGCTGGTCTACACTTGAGATCAGCTCCTGAAAGTCATTATGAAATATGCCTGTTTTTTCTTTGTTTCTTGGGATTAACAATTATTAACTCATTATTCAGTCATTTTTGAGTCTTATTATCCTGCATGAATTGTTTAGTAACTACTTTGAAACTAATATCTAAGTTATGTAGTTACGAGAGTGAGCAACAGAAGTTGGATCCACATACTTAAAGGTAAAGTGGTTAAAATAAATCATGTACAGTGTCCAGCCCTACAGACAGAACACACTGAGATTAGTTTTGCCATTTTAATATTTGATTTTGAGGTTTATATATTACGTGCTAGTCTTATCTCATCAAATAAAAGTCGTTTTCATGCGCACTTTAACCCAGCAGTTATGGCTGGTGATAACAGAAGCATGCCCTTGTTCAATATTAATTATTTAAGGAACTGAATCAAGCAGAGAAAATCTATCAAAAGTGCAGATTCTAAGCTTTCAATCAATATCACACTTGTGTTTGTAAGCAGAAGACACTTCATTATTGGCTTTGATGAAAAGTTATTGTTGTGCTCGAAGTCTCTTTTACTGAAAAAAAACGTGTCTTGACATCAAATCAAACAGATAAAAATTCTAATAGACTCAAACCTGCTGATACAGAATATAAATAGAATGCCAATGTTATGTAACAAACTATGTAATTTAATATGTAATTATGCAATTACAGTTGAACAGTATTGTAAAATGACAGCAACACTTCTTAACTTCTAAGTCTTTCGGTTACTACATGGTGGGCACACAGGGGTGCATATGGTTATGCTTGGCTTTAGTCCTTAGGGAATGAGACTGGAATGAATTCTGAGAAATAACACGAAATGGTACCAAATGCCCAAAACACGGGAACACCACCCTGTCCCAAGTGTTTAGCACTCAACAGCTGACTGATATTAACTCTCCACCTCCCATTACTCCTCCCAACATGAACACACACACATACACACGCACAGTTATTTCAGATTTGTGAGGTGATGAAAGAGGCAAGCGAATGCTGGTGTTTTTGTTTCTCTTTGACTCCTCCAGTGACCACATGACCTCTCCCTTATGGTAACAGCTTTCTCGGAATGTAAAAGAAGTTTATCGTCCTGACCAGCTGTCTTTAATAGTTTTGCAGTTTTCTGCAAATTCAGTTTGAAGAGAGCCCATCTTATCTATTCCTCTATGCTACGCTGGCACTCGGGCTGCACGATACACATATTGCGACCGTCTTGAGTCATCAAAATACCCACAGATACTCATCTATGACTGTTTAGGATGCTCACAGTACACAATAAAAACTTGTGAGTGGTTAGACAATGACACTGCCTGGTCAATGTCACGATAACAGTCAACAAATTATGCAGTCCAACTTGTTACTAAGAGAACTTCATTTAACAAACTTTTGAATTGTAGAATAGTAGTGAATAGAAAAACATAACGAGTCATAGCACTTGATTTCTGGCAGCTGGAAAAAAATATACGAAGATGATAAAAATGCTGCAAATATGTAAATTAAACCTCATGGATGACTTTATAGTGAGAATGATACAGCGTATCAAAAATTTAGGAGCTGCTAATTTGGTTAATTACTGTGATACCTCATTGTGTTGCATGCAACTTTGATTGCTTCATGTAACTGTCAAGTTTCATGGAAATTATGTTGCAGGCAACTCATAACATGCAACTAGTTAAAATTGAAATGAAAAGAAATGAAAATGTAAGTTTCACTAAGTAAAGCCTAAGTAAGAGTTAAAAAAATCTTTCCATCCTCACCCATGACAAACAAAGCAAGCAGGCAGGCAGTGGTCAAAACCCAACATATGGCTTCAGCCTGTTGTTGGCATGTGTATTCACAGCATTTCATCATTCTGATACAACTATCCAAAACATTACAGTCCCAGCGAGAGATTTCATGTTGATCTGCGTAAGAGAGGTGTTGAAGGCTGGTGCTGATAAAAGGTCACTATTGCAACTGTAAATCAACCAGTGGACAACCAGAACTAGCTCTGAGGGAGAAAAAGAGCTTAGTGTTCATGCAAGCGTGCTGATCTGTAAGATATAAATATTGCTAATACAATATTAACTGCACTGAAAAAGTGCTGCATTGAATTGACTTGATTGTGCATTGTTTCCAAACAAAATCTCTTACATTAACAACACAATGTTATCTTCCAGTAAGTCTTGGCAGTAATTGTGATAATAAATTTATTTCGGTGGAAATGATGTCCACTTTTAAATCCAGTAAAGTCGATGCATCATTGTTCTCAATGGACACGCACACTGAAGATCCAGTGGAATGGGAATGGATGAGTGTGTGAGTGAAGCAGGCTGTTCTACATCTGTTCTCCAGTCCAGAGAGATTTTTTTCTCAACTTGAGTCACGTGATGAACACATTGACTGCTACTCCCTACTTAAACATTTCCCCTTGAGGAGGGTGTGGAACACAAACACACACACATACACACACACAGACACATGTTTACTGCATGTTGCATTATTGAATTCTCTTCCACTGACCATTAACCTGCATTATCAAGCCATGCTAACAATGTGTTTTATATGAAGCAACCTATTAATGCTAGAAACAACATCTGAAGACTAAAAAAAAGGAAAGATAACATCCTAAATACACTTCCTCTGCTCTGAATGACCACCCACTATTACAAAAATCTTGCCTTTTCTTTTACAAGTATTTCACTGAATATCCCACCAGTCAGTGGACA